ATGATATGTGCTAAGTCTCACTTTTGTTGTTTTAACCAAAAGGTCCTCCAGAATCTGGGCAAAGATAAGTTCCCCCCTCAGTCCTTTGAGCAGGTGGGCACTCGCATTGCTAAAGTACTGGAGAAGGTAAGTTTAAGAAAAACTGTTTTCCTTTGAGAAATGAATGACAAAGAGAATAATCTTCTATTTGTTTATGTATTTGTTTATTGGGATTTTTTGCTTATTTTCTGTTGGACGTGTTCAAACTAACTGTTCCTCAACACTAGACTGCTATTATAATATGTTTAATGTTTGTGTTTAGCATTTAGCTTTGCTTTTATCCAAAACGACTTACAAAGTAGACACAATGCTCCAGTTATCAATAATCAGAAAATAAACTCTCTAAAGAAAAATCCCTATTCAGAGTTTAGCTTTAGAGAGCAAAATATATTGACAAGAAGGGGTAGAGGGAAGTACAGAAAGAGTGGTAGAGGGGGAATAGAGGTCTGGATAAGACTTAAGATAGGAATATTAATATTAATTATGTTTCTATAATACATTAGAAACATTCAGGTAGTTGTCCAATAACAACAATAACAATACGTTTAGACATAAACTTAAAGACTTTTTATTGAGAGGTCAGACATGTGAACATTAATAATAATAATAACTGTCCTGATCTTGTATCTGTGATGTTTTAGTGTGTAGTTTGTTCTGTTGTGTACAGTCACTGTGTTTTGTGTAAAAGCCATTGAGAATTAGCCTTAGCTAAAATGTTGAAGTTTGTGACATGATTCATGAAACATACTTGTCCCTATTAAATAAATGAATAAATAAAATAAAAAAATAAAAAACATATAATACCTTAAGACTGCTAATTCTCTGTCAGTGCTTCATCAGAATACATTCCTCTTAAACAAAAATTATTTCAAATTAAAGGTTGTACACAGTGAGATCCAGAAGGGGGCCAAACCTGACCTAATTATCACCTGTTTTATTTTCTAAAGTGGAGATTTCTCCTCTAATGTAACAGATCTAATACTCTGCTCTGAGTCTGTAAACAGTGTGATGGCTGTGCATGTTTTAACACGACTCACCGGTGTCGTAACACCAAACTTCAGCGCCCGTAACACAAACTAAATACAGTGGGGGAAATAAGTATTTGACCCCTTGCTGATTTTGCAGGTTTGCCCACTTACAAAGAATGCAACGATCTATAACTTTAATCATATGTACATTCTAACAGTGAAAGACAGAATCCCAAAGAAAATTCCAGAAAATCACATCATATGAATTTATGTTTATGTTCATGCATTTGGCCGACGCTTTTCTCCAAAGCGACTTACAGAGTAGACACAATATTACATTTCTCATCACTATGACAATAAGCTATCCAGAGGAGAAACCCTGATCAGAGTCAGTGGTGAGATAGAGATTTATAAAGATTGATAAGCATCTGATGAGGAAAAATAAGCATTCTTTGTAAGTGGGCAAACCTGC